CCAAGCGACGAAAACCCAACCCCGATGGCAAACACCGGGGGGGGGGCTGGGGGAGGGAGCGGGTCAACGCGGATCGTTGCACCTCCGATGCGTCCGTCGTCCGCGCTCTTTCTGGGAGAGAGTTCGCCCAGCGGAGAGACGCGGCCAGCGCTCGATCTGCTGCGAGATCTTGTTTCCTCCGAGCCGCGAGTAGTTGTCGATCAGTATATGTGCTGTAGAGCTGGCGGGAGCCTCGCTCTCCGTGCTGGCGGACAGCTGCCTGTGTTTCGTGAAAGTACAAGATACTCGCCCTGTTCTGGACACACAGTCCTTTGTGACGGGTTTTGGTATCCCAGGAACTACTGATATAGTACATCGTGGAAGGTGCTGGAGATCACTCACTCGCCTTGCGAGGCACGGCAAAAATGAATGGTTCGAGGTGGCCGTGCGGCAATTTTTTACCCTGGGCAACGTCCTCCTACGGTCCAGAAATCGCAGACCTTGCACAAGGTTCGGGTTTGAGGTGACGTTGGGGTCATTTTACCTTGCCCACGGTGTGTGCAAGGTTATAGTTCCGCTGGACCTTGCCCAACGTTTGACCTTGCATGACCTTGTGGCATGTATTACCTTGCACAAGGTCCTTCTAAGGTCCAGAAATCGCAGACCGTGGACATGATTTGACTGCTGGTGGACCTTGAGACCGTTTTACCTTGCCCACGGTGCGTGCAAGGTTACAGTTCCGCTGGACTACATGCACAAGCTTCGACCCTGTGTGACCCTGGGGCGTTGTCCACCTTGCGCAAAGGTCCGTGTGAGGTCCAGAAGTCGTCGACCTTAGAAATCGTTCGACCAATTGTGATCTCGGTGCTTTTTCCACGTTGTCCAAGGTCCTTTCAAGGTCAAGAAATCGTAGGCCTTGGGCATGGCTCGTCTTCGTGGTGACCGTGGGGCACTTTTACCTTGGGCAAGGTCCTCCTAAGAATCGAGAAATACTTAGACATTATACATGGTTCGCCTGTGTGGTCACCTTGTGGCTTATTAACCTTGCCCAGGGTGCGTGCAAGGTTCCGGTTATGCCGGATCTTGCCCAACGTTTGACCTTGCATTACCTTGGGGCCTTATTTGCCTTGCAATAGGTCCTTCTAAGGTCCACACATCGTAGACCTTGGAATTGGGCACCTTTGTGGTGACCTTGGGAGCATTTTTACCTTGGCCAGGGTGCGTGCAAGGTCTGTCCAAGGTACCGGTGGTGGGTCAACCTTGTGTAGGGGGGGGGTAGCGTCCACCCGTGGGGGACCTCCTGGTTCATGCTCCCGTTCAGCCCAACTACTTGAAAACTCCATGTCCCGAATCAAAACTGAAGTTCAGGCGAAATCATATACATTCATTTGAGGTAAACAACTTACCTGAATCACGACACGAATCAACACCCCGTGTAGGCTGCCTCTAATACGCCGCACGAGAAAGTGTCTGGATGCACTGCCCGAATCAACACCCCTGCACGCTGTGTGTAACACGCCCGAAAATTGGGGACCGGAGGTTGGACCCACAGTGAGGAGCAACACGTGCTGGAATGAGCGGGGTGCAGACACATTCGATTACTGTTACTTCCTTCGCAGTGACAAATGGTTCTACGCGAGAGGGGGCTTCGTTCACTAATGCCACAAAGCTTGCTTGCGTCCTCGGGCATCCTCTGCCTTTATGGTTGGCGCAAAGTACGATCAAGTCAAGCGGTATCCATCCGCAAAGATGTCCTAGCAGTTCCAGGCTCTGTCTCATCATGAGACGAATTCCAGGTGCTTTCTGGGAGAACTGGCTCGAGCCATGGCTTCACAAATTCGCACTGCGGATACAGACAATCCACTTTAACTTTCTGCCTACAAGACGTTTTTACAGCCACGGGTCCCCCTGCACAAGGTCCGTTGCCCGAGACGAAGCACACATCATCCAAGGTTCCAAAATTTGAGGGTTGTGGGCATTTTGACCTGGTGCAAGGTGCCTGCAAGGCCCCTAAGGATCCATTGCCTTGCATCCTTGTAGAAGGTGTCATGTGCCGACGTTGCATCAAGGCTACACGTTTTTCGCGACAGATATACTTGTGTTCTCCTTTGAAACCAAACATCACAAGCAGGTTCGGGTTCATCCCCACGAGACGGACAGCAACGAGAGCAAGTGCACGGCCCCTTCGAGCGATTGACAGGGAAACAGGGAAAAGATACACAGAGCGCGACACACGTAATAGTAAGGAGGGCGGAGGCTCAAAATACGAGCATGAAGTACCCACCCGGCTCCTCTTTCAACAAAGAAAAGGCGAATAATGAAGTTTCATAGCAGTGCGTGGCTGGCAAACGGATGAAAGCCAACTCACATCTCATCTCGTGATCAGGTTATCGATAGCCGATTCTACGTCAGCTGCGAAGAGAATCGTGGCAACAGCGACGACGAAAAACAAATCTGACCAGCAGAGCGTTCAATGTCTGGTTGGTAACTATGATTCGACAATCGGAGGCCTCGATTGCCAGTCTAGGTTCGTCTTCGCCCTCCCCCGCCATCTCCATGATGACCAAGGGAGGCCTGGATCGCTAGTCTAAGATCCTCATCCGCATCCCAAGCCTCCGTCGTTCCAGGAGCTACGGCCTCTGCTGCTCCACCGTCGAGGTGTTGCTGCCGTGATTCTTGCCTCGCGGAAGCAACAACCGCCGACGGATTCGCTGCCGCACTTTCGCCGGTAGCGGCACCCCTCGGACCCCTAGCCCTACCGCGCTCGACGGCAGCAGAAGAGGGCGGAGGAACAGCCGCATCAGTGGCAGCACGACCTCGTATGGACTCGGCCATAGCATAATGGACCAGGGCATCCTCCATCACGGCTGCCTCGTCGGTGTTGCGCGGCGCGTCGAATACATTGCGCGGCTGTTCCTGGTCGGCCAGAATAATTTCCCTGGCGGTCAGCTCAGTTTCCTTGGCGGCCAGCCCAGTTTCCTTGTCGGCCAAGTAAGTTTCCTTGGCCGCCAGGTCGACTCCCTTGACGTCCAGCTCAGTTTCCCTTGCCGCCACTGCAGTTTCCTTTGCGGCCAAGTCAGTTTCCTTGGCGGCCAGCACAGTTTCCTTGTCGGCCAAGTAAGTTTCCTTGGCCGCCAGGTCGACTCCCTTGACGTCCAGCTCAGTTTCCCTTGCCGCCACTGCAGTTTCCTTTGCGGCCAAGTCAGTTTCCTTGGCGGCCAGCACAGTTTCCTTGTCGGCCAAGTAAGTTTCCTTGGCCGCCAGGTCGACTCCCTTGACGTCCAGCTCAGTTTCCCTTGCCGCCACTGCAGTTTCCTTTGCGGCCAAGTCAGTTTCCTTGGCGGCCAGCACAGTTTCCTTGTCGGCCAAGTAAGTTTCCTTGGCCGCCAGGTCGACTCCCTTGACGTCCAGCTCGGTTTCCTTTGCGGCCACTGCAGTTTCCTTTGCGGCCAAGTCAGTTTCCTTGGCGGCCAAGTCAGTTTCCTTGGCGGCCAGCCCAAATTCCTTGGCGGCCAGCTCAGTTTCCTTAACGGCCAGGTCAGTTTGCTTGGCGGCCAGCTCAGTTTGCTTGGTGGTCAGGTCCGTTTCCTTGGCGGCCAGGGCAGCTTTCGTGGCGGCCAGCTCAGATTGCTTGACGGTCAGGTCAGCTTCCTTGGCGGCGAGGGCAGTTTTCTTGGTGGCCTCGGCGGCCCACACCCCCACTCTAGGGCGGTTCAGTCGGCTCGCCTAGGGCAAGGTGACAAGACCACCAACCAACCACAGGAAAGGAATGCAATCGACGAGTGAGCCACACCTTGCCGGTTACATCTAGTTGATGCGGTTGGAATCAAGAAATGCGGATGGTACAGGGCTACATGTTTAGATGACGCTGCTGTGGCCTTCACGTGTTAGAACCAATTGAAAGGTTTCTTCATGGCTTTTTCCTTCCAAGCTTTCAGCCCCAAGGTGCCTGCCGCAACACGCATAACTCAATGACGATACATACGCCAGATCAGGATGTCGTGTACGGCATACTCTCGGGGGGATCCCTAGCTCTGTGTTGGTTGTCAGCACACACTCTCGAACATGCGAAACACATCATTTTCTGGGTTTTTCTCGCCCGCACACGAACAGCTGCAAAATCGTTCGACAATAATATCGGTATATCCTGTTCACAGGTGCCTACTGAACGCAAAGAGCCAACTCGATTGTGGGAGGGTACTCCGTGATGCCACCTCATTGTCTGCTCAACAGTACTACAAGGTCACATTCAAGGTTGAAATCCGATGGCGCCATCGCATGGTACAAGAGCGGATAAAATAATAAAATAAGATAAATCGTATATATTATCATAGATAATTATCTCTCAACATGATGTTACTATTGACATACCCACATCACACGTGAAAACGTTTCTGATGCCGACCTATACCCATGCGCGCATTCGGGGGCAACGCAAGGGCCTACCTGTGAATATGGGACATATCTGTCGTATTTGGTCCTGTTCCTGCGCGCCTCCTCTTCCGCGTGGCAAACCAAATTGCGGAATTCTCCAAGGGACTTTGCCAGGTGCGGGTGCCCTTCTGCTCTCGTCAAGCACTCCTTGGCCTCCGTCAGCTTCCCCATCTTGATCAAACAAACCCCGAGGCTGACAATAGTGTTTGACAAGTCCGGGTGACGGAAGCCCTGCTTCTCCTCTTGAATCCTGAGTGCTCGTTTCAAGCGCAATTCGGCTTCCTCCGCTCTGCCGGACATGTACACACACAATCCCAGCTCGTGAAGGGTGCGCGCCACGACCACGGAGTCGACGCCAGCAGTATGCTCTTGGATTATTAGCAGTTGGGAAAAGTAGTCGGAGGCTGGCATCCATTGCTCTCGGTCCCTGTAGAACGACGCAGCTGTTCTCAGAGCCATTGGACGGTCAGCACTCGAGGGAGCCAATCCACCCAAAGCCTCGAGATACGGCTGCGAAGGTACTGGTTCGCCTTGTGCTTCCGCAAGCACATTCCAGCCTTCGGACAGCCAATCTTCCGACAAGGTGACAAGGGCCGAAACGCTTGACATGTACCTTCGCCATCGGATCAGCGTCGTATTCCGTGCATGCTGGTTTGCTGCAAAACTTGCCCGAATAAAGTCGGTGTGTTCATCGTGGACACGGTACCAACCGCCGCCTACTCGCGTGATAATTGACCAGCGCTCGAGGGTCTCGAAGATGTTCTTGGCCTCCTCCCGATCTTCCTTCTCTTCTCCAGAACGGCCATCACCGTACAACAACACCGCCGCGACATCCGGAGGAAAAGGCTGCCCCCGTGGTATGACCGCGAGGGCAAGATAGAGCTCTCTATTCGCAGAGTTTTCTCCAGCTAGTTCCTCCAATCCGGTATGCAGAACGGCCGCACGCCAAGATAGGGGCAACCTCCCTTCGCCTCTTGTTTGAGCGTCCACTATGCAATCCAACGCCCCACGCCAGGCCAACTCGCTGGTTCTTCGACGAGTCCTGCTCCACCTCCCCACGAAATCTAAGTCCAGCGCAGCATACTCGCACCTCCTCATCAAGTCGTACGCGGCTTCCGGGAGACACGCGTCCTTGGCTAATTCAGCCGCGTTCCGCAGCACCATCTCCGCTTCCTCCCTGTCAAGCTGGTCTAGTAGCACCACTGGTGCTCTTGGAAGCAGGTCAGTATTGCGGCTGGTGTAAAGCACTCCCCACACGCTGGCCCTCCGCAGCTCATCGAGCACCTCCGTTTGCCAAACGTCATCCGCCACCACCAAAAACCTTCTGGGCCTTTCAACTTGGAGACATTGAATGTAGGCCGCCGGGTCCTCGTCGTCGGTTCCGATTACACCTTTTCGAAGCGGCCTACACCTTTTCTGGAAAACCGTCTCGTAAACCATACCAGCTAGGCTGGTCAAGAGTTCAAGTAGGCGATCTCTTCCTGCACGTTGCCCTACTGATAGCCACAACACACCGCCCGGGAAAAATGCCCGCACATCTTCCCGACGGATTACCATCGAGGCGACCGTGGATTTACCCGAGCCGCCCGCCCCAGCCAGCCCAACCACCTTCATTTCTGCGGGGTAGGCAGTCGTGTGGTCTTCAATGCCGAGCAAGGAACACACTTGCGATATCACTTCCCCGCGCTCAACGAATCGATCTCGAATTCGAGGGGCTGTCGTCGGGATCCTGACCGTGCTCGCAAGATCTGCAACCCTGCGCTGCTCCTGGAGCACCCACGCCGGACACGGACAACGGCACATCAAAAGAAATTCAAAAGGGAAGCGACGGTGAGGTTTCAAAGCGCCTGTGGATGATCGGACTGCCTCGTGATCCCTAGTCAAGTGATATCCTGAACGTCTGAAGCCGTCAAGCCAGATGTTAAGGAAAAGAGGAACAACCGCCGAGGAACGACGCTTCGCTCCACAAAGGAACACGAGCGACACGCGCAAGGCAAGGCAAGCGACCACGAGATGCCGTGGGAGCCAACCGTGAGGCGTCAAGTGCAAAGAGGAAACGTCACATATCAACTTTCGGCCGCAATATCATTGCCACCGGTCGGATCGGGAAAGAATAAGCAAACGCCACGAACTTAGTCGCTGGAAAGGCGCAGTGGGGGGCGTTGAATATGTGCCCAAATGGATGAAATACTCAGCGTTGTAGAGCACCAAGTTTGAAACTAGCCACAGGAAGAGCAGCAGGAATCTAGACTTGCATCTACCCCCTTTTGTTTGCCACTCCAACGAGCATACAACTATCGTCGTGCGGCGTGGAATCAGCATTCTTCGGGGGGTGTCCTAAGCCGCTGAGCGGGAAAACTACATTCCATGTACTATATGCTGACTACATCGCCGTCACTGCACGATCTTCGTCACACCAGGGAGGTAAAACTTCCTGCTGGTTCGTCAGCATACGTACCGCGAGTTGTGTTGTCACCTCCGCCAACGCCTCCTGGGTGCGTTGGAGTTCCCCCTGGGCGTGGCAGCATAGCAACAAGGCAGAAACGGACGACAAGCGGGACAAGACCTAAGGTTACTCCCCACCAATTGGCGCGCAGACTTACTTGGAGACTGAATTGCGATGGGGCCTTTTCAATAATCGGAGTTCTCTGTGCTACTGGAGCGACATCTTAAGTGTCGAGGGGACAACCGAAGCAAGACAGGCCGCATCTGGGGCCGAAATTAGGCAAAGGGGGCGTGGAGCAAAGCTGTCCCTGTAAGCAAACAAGGCATTCACCGAACATTGAACTATGCACGGCGTTAACTTCGCGGGTTCCTGCGGGCATGGTAATCGCTTTAATGACCGACCGACCAATCGAAGCCAAACATGCAACCCAAGCGTCAGATATCACTCGTTTGCCCAAAGCTTGCTGCCGACGAATGTTGGGGTGAACGCGAGGGGGGGAACAGTTGGATAACAGAAACTAGCCTGGAGATCCCGTAAAGCTCGTTCTCTGTTCTCGCGCTCCTCTTCTTTTTGCATCAGTTGCACAGCCGTGATGTCAGCCTTATCCCTCATAGCCTCGAGCTCATTCTGCATTGCAGTCATCCTCTCTCGTGTACTGGACGCGTTGTAGCCGATCTCCTGTCAATATGGCGTTCGAAAAACATGGGTTATGGGGTTAACGTAGATAAGTCCTGGACAACGACAGCCGACACCGACTTCACCTACGGCTCTTAAGTGATCGATGTCGTAGAAGACAACATTGACGCACAGCTTCGTACCTCGATGGCGATAAGATGAGCCTTCGATCTCATTCAAGGCGAAAACTATCGTAGGTTTGCAATATACTCCGAACGTCCTTGTTTTGACCCTATATACTTAGAAGCTAACTCGGGTGTTTCGCCAGGAAAAACCGACTGAGTTCCCATTTTTAACTCATGGTTGGATTCTGCACATATTCTTAGCGCGAATTATTGTTGAACCATTAGCGGCAATTCTCCATCCTTACCACGACTTCCGCTGTCCTGACGGTCAGTTCGGTTTCCCTCCTGGCAATTTCAGCTTCCATGGCCGTCAAGTTTTCTCTCATGCCGTTTAGATTCTCCTGCGGCACGGCGGCAGGGCATCCAATCAATCTAAATCAATCGACGAGTGAGCGGCACCCGTTCCGGCGATATCTAGGTTGGAGTCATCTTATATTGCTCCAAGAAAAAACTCAGACAGCAGGAACTACAGAACCGGCCATCGCCCAAAGCGCGCTGTGTCGTTTGGGACAAACCTTGAACGGCTCAGAATAACAAAGGGAAAGTTAAAGCAGGTTATCAGCAGTGGATTCTCCACATACACGCTCCTTCCAGCTCGGCCTGCGTGTGAACGTTGTACCTGCTCAACCACCGATAGCAGATCCCAATATGGACGGCGATTTGTTGTCCTCGTCAAAGCCGGCTGAGTCTATATATCGGAAGGTGGTCATCACCGACCCCCGGCCCGAAATCGCAACGACTGTCGACTCCCAAGACCCCACTTCTTCCCCCAGGTATATGATCTCTCAAGGAATTGTACGCCGCAGCAGTCTTTCCCCGAAATCATTCGAAGTGACCCCAACCTACGTCACGGATCCGATTCAGTTACTGTTTGATCCGAGCTGTTGAAGTAACCGACTACTCCTTGCACTGCTTGCTCATCATTGTGAGTGAACGTGCACGTCGGCATGGTGGAAAATGCTGCAACACTGCTTTCTTGTGTACGTACCTCTAACGCCGTGTTGGTTCCTTCGATGTCTCCCATTTCCTTCCTCAACCGCTCGATCTCTTCTTGCCCTTCGTCAATGTCTGCCCGTGTGGCTGGCATCGCTGCTAGCCTGCCCGTCGCTTCATCGTTCATTCTCATACTCTCCTGCGTGGAAGCCGCGCAGTGAACACAGGGGAAAGTACGCAACAATCTTTGTCGAGCCCTGAGGTTCTACACGAACCTATGTGCCACACTTCTGGGAGTTTTGGTGAAACCCTCATGAGCGTCGCTCACGAGACGCTCATGGGCTGTCTTATGTCTCATGAAACGTCCCATGAGACCGCCCATGGAACTGCCCATGGGCGTCTCATGAGCGTCCCATGGGGCGCCCATGAACGGATGCCTGCAAACGGTTCAACATAACTGTACGGTGGATTTGGTTGTGGTCCACAGGCCGAGACGTAGCCGAGGTCTAGCCCTAACCAACGCTAGGATCTAGCCCTAACTTACGCCTTGTGACCTTAGCCTCAACCAACGCCACCTCGATCGATGGTGTGTCGTCCGTGAGGGTTAGGGTTAGGGTTGGGTTGGGTAGGGAAACAAATAAAACAGGAGCCGGGTGCGTCGCAATTGAACCCGGATGCTGCTCTACAGAGAGCGCCGGGAAAACAACATAACCCCTTTTGCAATGCCTACACATACGTATTTGATTTCAAGGCTGTGATGGATCTTGCTCACAGTCCCTTGCGCAGGGATTCTCGGGGTGGCGTTGTAGACAAGGGTCGAAGAGTTTATGACTTGGGGCCAAAAAGTGGCCCCCGAAAATTGTTTGGTCTTAAAAGGAATGAACCCCGTACGCTCATGATACGCTCATGGCAGCACATGGAACAGCCCATGGGCATCGCTCATGGGCATCCCATGGGCCGCGAAATGCCGATGACACATGAGACACGTATGGGGTTCTCATGGCCCATGGGCGTCTCATGAGCGACTCATGAGCGTCTCATGAGCGTTCGATGGAAACTGCCGGAAGTGTGGCACGCCAACACGAACCATCCCTTCTACCTTGCCAATAAGCATTGCCTGGGAGTCACAGATTCGTCATTGCGCGTGTGGCAAACTCGTGACGTGAGGTGGATATCACAGCAAATGATACAGCAGTAGAGCCCAAACCATGTCAGGGCAGTCTCCCGACGAAGCTGAGATGGTTGCCCGATGCCCCAACCAAAGAAGTTGCCCGTGAAGGAAAGCAGCCACCAACAGCTTCTGGGCTCACGTTTGACATTTGCCCGCGGTATTTGCACTCCACGAGCTGACACCACGACACGATGTTTAGTCGCTCAGTTCAACTCTTCGGCAAGAGAAATTGGAGCACGGGTAATACGTTGTGTGTGTGTAATCTCCAAACATCTGTACAATATCCTACATACTGAAGTTAAACTTAATGCCCATGCCAACAGTTGTTAGGTGCAGAGAGAGAGCCAGCGATGCAGTTGTGCTGTACAGCGAAGAGTGGTTGGTCAAGGCGTTCCGAGAGGAAGAAGCTGGTCACGCAAACCCGATATGGTTCCCACCGCCACACACACTGCGAGAGAGAGCTTGAGGGACTGAGGTTCTCCTTCCTAGACAAAGGTCTACAAGATTCTGGCGGTCGGCAATGACGGCACTGCGGGCTTGGTAGTGCTTTTCAACTGCGGTAGTAAAGGGCTGCAAAGAACATACCGTAGTTGAAGGCGGGAAAATAAAAGGGGCAGTCGGCGGACAAGGTCGAAAGCCTTCCCTGTCCGCTACAGCTGTATGTAGGGGTCGCAGCTTTCGAACCGCAAAGAAACAGGGGTGAGCCCCCAATGATAAAAATTGGGTCACGATGCAGTGTAAAATATTTCGCCTAAAACACAGTAGTAAACCGACTGCAATCAACACGGCAAGGTCAATGCGCAGGTCTTACTGCTGTACTACGACACAGTACATCTCACCAGGATGGTGCTGGTGACCCCAAGATTAATTGCCGAGCAGAAATCGACGAGATCTTTCCTGACGGAACTGATTTCTCTGCAGATCCTGCGAGCCAAAATAACCTGCGCGAACCTTGGCGGTTGAACGCAGCGGTTGGCGACATCCCTCGCTCTATTCACGTATTGCTCCAGGGTCGTGCACTTGTCTCGAAGCAGGCCGACGTTCCGGCGGCGCTCAGGCTCGAGGAACCCAGCGATTATCACCCTGCACAAATCACAAAGAGTGGCGAGATCGTGCCTGTTGTTCCTGGCGGCTTCAACGTGTTGCTCGAGCACCTGAAACGCGTTGCACACATTTCCCAGGGCAGGTGTCTCTTGCAACAACTTGGTCGTTATCGAAACACTTTCGTGAAGCAAGGACCCAAGAAAGGAGGCGGTGCGGCTCCTGTTCGTCAGACCATGCACGGTGCTCACGGGCGCTGCCATCTCTCAGGTACGTCCCAGGAGATGAGGAGACGGGGTTCGAAGCTTTGCAACACGTGCAGACCTGCATAATTCAGCCGTACAGACACGAAGACAACAACATCGGACGGCACTCTGTGTCCAAATAGCATACATACGAAGCAGTTGTTTGG